GCGCGATAAGACTCCCCACCACGTCTGGCTGTTTACCTAGGCTCTCCGTACTGCCAGAGACAGCAGTGTGGGAACAGGGATCCGTTTCCATAGAAATAAGAGCCTCTGCTGCCATCCGCGCTCGGAAATCCACTCTTCCATCACAGAGTGGATGTCAGTGTCATCTCCTCCTTCTGCGACCCCCAGCCAGCCTCTGCCTCCGAACGAGCCGCCCCGCGCAGCCCGGCGGGCTTGAACCTGCGGCTCGATGTCGGGGGTTCACCACGAGTACCAGTTGCACCTGGCGACGGGGGAGCCGAGCGGAGAGTGGGGGGAGCTGGGAGTCCTGGGCAGCCGAGCGAACACGCACCCTCGCGCACGCCGAGCCGGGGGCGAGAGAGGTCTCTCAGGGGGGAAAAAAAAAAAAAGGGGGCCGCCTGGAGGAGATCTTCATTAAACCCTTTGTTGAAAAAATGAGCCCCACTTTTCTCTCATTAGCCAGCGAACGTAATAAGAAATCCATTCAAACTTGTAGAGTAAGAGAGCAATATTAGCGTATTGCTTATGTTGCAGGCACGAGATACATTTTTTTCCCCCCCACAAACACCGACCCCGTCAGAACGCACCAGTGACCAGCGCCAGGACGAGACGAGCGGTACCTGCTGTGAAACCATGCCAAGCCAGACGGATGACGACTGTGCACAGAAATGACTGACTAATGCCCTGCAACAGCCTGTAGCCCAACAGCGCTGGCAGGGGGAGAGTCCTACAGCCCCTGCGGAGCAGACACCTGTAATGTGGACACGGTGGACACCGGCCACAGCCTCGCTCCCCGCCGGGGGGGTGGGCAAGTGGAGGTCCGCCCGTCGGTCCGGTCCGTCGGCCGGTCTCCCGAGAGGAGGGGGCGGTACTTACTCAGACCTGGCGAGCGCAGGCAGCGCCTTGCTGTAGAAGAACCCTAGAAAGGGCAGGTCCGCGCCCTGGAAACCCGAACGCTTAGCCTGCCGCGGGGGAGCCACTGGCCTGGGCGCTCTCTCGGGCTCCTCAAAATTCGAGGTGTCATCTTCGGCGCGGAGAGTGGGAACGAAGGGAGGGAGCGCTGTCGGAGAGAGACGAGCGGAGAATGAGGGGGGAGAGAGAGCGACAGCGGTAGAGAGAGAGAGAGAGCGAGCGGAGAGAGAGGGAGGGAAGATGCAAAGGGATTGAACTGTAGTGTAGTGCAGCACCGAGCAGCGCGCGCGCACAGACACGCGCTCACTAGCTCGCTGGCTCTCTCTCCCTCACACACACACTCACAGAGGCTTCCCACACTGCAGCAGATCCTACTAATAACTATAATACATGCAGTCTGACTCACTGCTGGAACCCAGAGCTCCACAGACGGCCACAATGAACTGCGCCACACACACACACATTAACCCCTTGTGGGGCGAGGAACAAAACCACCAAGCAGCCGAGCGATCTGACCAGCAGGCTGGGCAACCCGTTTAGTGGCTTTGTGCTGAATGTGGTGTAGCCGTGACACAGACAGACCGCAGCCGACGGCAAGCCGCAGTTGTGATTCTGACAGTGGCAGCGATGTATTTAAACTCAGATTCTGCCCACCACAGTTTTGTTAAATGCTCCCTTTAAAGACAGCACTTTCACGGCCTATTTCTCCTGCAGACCCCTCGATTCAGAGGTTCCTAACTCATGAAGAACCCACACCGTCGGGGATAATGTAAAGGGAGTTTAAGCCCCTTTAGAAGGGAACGGTTAAATGAGGCTCCGTCTCAATCAGTCCACAAAATTGCACAGCGCAGATCAGACCATGATGTTTAATGTCCATTTGAAAAGTGCTACAGACAAGCCTGATTGTAATGAATTAAAAATAAAAGCATACTAGAAAATAAGAAGAAAACAGCCTTCCTAATGATCTTCTATAACAGCACAGTGATGGCTTTGTTAATAGCTATGTGCAACTGGTACATTAAATGGAAATAGCTAATTTATACCACTAAAAAGACTGCAGTAAGAACGTAATCAGTGAATGGAAAGCTGTTATTACTGTAATAGATGAGGGAGGTCGTGGGGGTGGAGCCTCAAGCAAGTGTGAGGGCTGTTGGTGGGTGGAGCCTGAAAGAGGTGGGAGGGTGGTCGGGGCAGGGCCTAAATCAGGTGGGAGGGCTGCTGGGGGCAGAGCCTGAAAGAGGCAGGAGGGTTGCTGGGGGCAGAGCCTAAATCAGG